GCCAAGAGTACCCCTTCCGTCCCTGCCAGTTATAAAGAGGCACTGAGGATGGAGATGCCAGCGCAGGTGCGAACTGTGTCCCCCCCTTTTCTGTCCACACCTGGCAGCAGGAGTTGCTGATGTTTCTGGCATCTTGGGGTACAGGACAGTTAGAGCCTCTGAGTTTTCTTGACACCATGAGAAAAGGACAGACTGCCATTTCTGGAGAATGGATGACACACCATCCATGTGGGTCAAGGGGCTCGAGAGCCACACCAAGGACCAGGTAACGAACGTGGAGGGGCAGGTGTTTCTGAGTTTGGGGTGACGGCAGTGAGGAGCCTGCTCATGAGTCCGCATTTTGAATGGACGATCTTGTTGCAGGATGAACCCCTCACTCTCTTGGGTAACCCCAGCCAGAACCAGGAGCCCCTTCCGCAGAGCGGGGATACCAACAGCGTCAGAAACTTGCATCGAGGAGTAGAGAGAGCCCATCTTGAGGTTCAGAGATTGTGGGTTTTTTTTTTTTTTCTTTCTCATTCTGTCTTGTTCATGTTTGCACACCTAAACATTTCCCTTTCCCACCCACATCTTGACTCGATCTCCTGCCTTGACATCCCGGGGTGCCCTGTTGAGAAATACCACTCTTCTCAGAAATCCTGGAGGAAATGAAGGATTTCAGACCCAATTAAGTGATTCTAGTTCTGGAGCATGTTTGGTGACACTTGGGCCAAATACTCCTATTACCTTGAGCTGAACCAGGAGACCGTCTGTTCCTGAGGCTTGTCATTGTATAAACATCTTCCTGCAGAAACGTTCTCAGCTTCTAAATTGAGGTGTTAGGGTAAGACCCTCCCATTTATGTCTGCTTCCAGATCTTGATGCCATCCAAGATGGGTCTGGTGTTCTACCCACATTTGTTGGAAGTGTCACGGTGACCAGCGTGTCCTGGGTTGTCTGGGGTGAGCCCCCAAATCCCATATCTAGGGAAGCCCCTGCATCCTGGTGGGTCACCCTGTAAAGTACCCATGGTGTTTTGAGCCTAGTTGTAGATGCTAGGGATGTGGATTTTAATAAATTTCAATCGGGCCCACAGACTGATCCTGAAGCCGGACAAGTAAAGAAAAGTGCTCTGTGACAAGTTCGGTGGAGAAACACGTCTTGGTCACAGCTAACACATACTCACTGCTTCTGTGCCCCTCATTGCTCTGGGTGCTTTTCACAAGGGGACTCATTGAATCCTCCCAAGAGCCCTAAGACACTACCGGTGTCTCTCCATTTTATGGGTGGGATAACCGAGGCACCAAAGTCATGCCATGAGGCATGCCATCTGACCAGAGGCAGTCCGGCTACAGACCCTGTGCCCTTGATCTCTGCACTGTGTAGAGAGGTTCAAGCGGGGATTAATTCTCCCCTGAGATCGCTTCTTGGGGGAGGTGATGCACAAGCGGGGATAGGACAGGTGAGAGGAATTTGCAGCCCATTGGGAAGGAAGGACACCAAGGGCAGTGGAAAGAGCATGCCTGGGACGTGTCCGGGGACATCTAAGCCGGGCTGTGGACGCATCACAGACGTGCAGTGTAGTGGGTGGTGACGTGGGAGGTGGGGTAGGAGTAGGGGTTCATGGTGCCCTGGGAACCCCCTCCATCCCGGGCAACCCAGGATCTTCAGTCATTCTTGTCTTGGGGGCACTGGGCATGTCAGAAAGACCCCAGAGGTTTTGGGCTTAGGTAAATGGGGCCCCAGGATGGGCTGAACTAAGTCTAGTAGAGTTTGGAGGCTCAAATTGCCGGCCTTGGCTTGTGACACAGACTGGAGATTTCTCGCAATGCCTTTATTTTCCCCCTTTGTGATTGAGGTGAAGCTCACATAGCATAAAACTCACCATTTCAGAGTATACAGTTCAGTGGTGTGTAGCACGTTCCCAGTGTTGTGCAAACACCACCTCAATCTAGTTCCAGAACATTTTCATCACCTCACTTAACAGCCCCCCATTTCCTCTCCACACCCTCCCTCCGGCCCCTGGCCAGCACCGACTGCTGACCTTCTGTGTCTGGATGCACCTATTTCGGGCGTTTCAAGGAAATGGACTCATACCCTATGTGGTCTTCCCGCCCCGCAGCATCACGTTTTCGAGATTCGCCTGGAGATCTCTTGGGGCCAACTGTGCAGTGGTGGTAAGGCAAGTCTGCCAGCTGTCTCCAGACCTCCCAGAGGTGCAGACCCTTCCCCGGGAATTGAGGATTCCGGGCAGAGAGCGCTGCTGGGCTTGGCTTGGTAAAGCCCGAAAGCACATCTGTGTGGGCACAGAACGGGGAAGATGATCCTCAGAGCAATGGGAAATGCCCAGAATAGCTGCCCCGACTCGGGTGTTCCAGGGAATTCTGAGACTGTTCAGGCTGAACGTTTTAGGAGCAGATCTGTTGCTGAAAGCGAGGCCTCTCTGGGATTGTTCCAGTGTCCCGAGGTCTCAGGCCCCGTTCATTAATATCAGCTCAGGATGTGAGGATCGCCGGGCCTGACAGTGTGACTTCTCTCCAGCATTTTGAGGACACTTTGCTTCTCTTTCAACAGAGCAATATTTAAAAGGCTGAGGCTGAGCTGCTCTGAGACTCCACTAGCAAGGGGCCTTTGCCTTTCCCACCCCAGGTGTTAACAGCAGGTGGCGGAGACGCCTGGCACTATGAGGTCCCTTAAATATGCAGCTTCGTGCCCACGTTATATCTCTGGGAGGTTCTGGGATCTTCCCCTTCTGTGTGTCTTTCCTCCAGAACGAGAAGGAAGAGCTTTGTGTGTGGCTATCTACCTTTGGTTGATACTAAGGTCCTGGCCCCCTGATCCTTATTAGAGAAGCAGATCGTTTTTGTTTATCGTTTTTTTAAAGATTCATTTATTTATTTGAGAGATAGATATCGGAGAGCAGGAACACAAGCAGGGGGAGTGGGAGAGGGAGAAGCAGACTCCCTGCCGAGCAGGGAGCCCGATGCGGG